AGTGATAGATCTACCTGTCTCGTTATGTGCGGTTTTCTGAAATCGCTTGATTTGTTGGGACGTTGGAACGCATCATTAATGTAAATTATAAGATGAATAGGAATGAATAGCATGCCATTTGATGGTATATGGCGTACAGGACTGCGCCTTTCATGAAAAATCACAGTCGTATATCAGTTGATCTGAAATCAATGCCATAAATTTTGCTTTATACCTCTTTGGAAAGCACAGCCAACTGCAGAAAATAGTTTATTATAGATTATTCCTGGTTTAAAATCAATTTTGTAAGTAGTGCAGTATTTTATATAACTTACAAAATATAATTCATTTCTGAGCATACGTGCAGTTTCCAAAATCTTTCAGAATGAATAAAAGAAAGCTTTTACAAATGATTTCGTTGCAAATACATTGAAAATATTATAGTTTTAATTCAATATACGGTTACAAACGATTTAAATAAACTAAGCAAAAACTTTAGAATTTATTTCAAAATGTCAAAGTAAGAATACAAATAGTTAGAATTGACCAAAAAAATACTCAATATTAATTAATACAAAAGTATTTTAAACAGTTTTATCAAGAGGATAGGCGCAAAATTTTGTTCCAATCTTAATTAATCCATTCATTTTTTTCGAGTCCTAAGAAAACTAATACGTTTTTTTTTAAATAAAAACCGAATATAAGACTACAATATTACCAAGAGCAGAAAATCCTGAAGATTTCTATAATGTTTATTTTAATAAGTTACAGGGGTCAAAAAAAAGAGAAAATTTAGTTTGATTTTTAATTTCAAATACTTCATTCAATTCTAAGGGACTTTCGGCCCATATTAATAATGTAATCTTTTCTTCTGCGTTTAAATGTTTTAAAAGTATTTATTACTTTTCTCAGGATTCTAAAAAATGAATACATTTAAATATCATTGGTTCAAGATTTTGCGCCAACTCCCTTTAGTAAAACTGGTTAAAAACTAAGTAGTGTGCGAATTTCGACAGTGAAAAGGTTGTGCAATTATTGAAGAAACTATGTAAGTAATTTTAATCTAAATAGAGATACTTACGTTAAAACAAGTTCCTATTGTTTATATTACTTAAACGTATTATACGTTGTCATTAAGCAACGAAAATGGATGATGTTATGCTCCAGAGGCATCAAGGACCCAAACCCTATTGACATCATATCAAACTCCTTCATATTTTGCAGCATTAATAAACTCAACTCCAAAACTCCCTTACAAGAAACAAGCTATTTTATATAATGCTCTGTAAAACGCCAAACTTGAAATATCTATCTGCACCGTAATTGGAATAAACTTCAAAATGTAAAATGGAATTTTTCAAATCAAACTCGATGTTTCTAAAGTACCTAGTTTTATATCCATAAGTTTAGTTCTTGAACCTTAATAATATATTTTTTAATAGATTTCCTTGGGCTTAGGTTCATAAAAGAGATTGTTGTGATACTAAAACATATTCGGCAGGAAATCCATGCCTTTTTCAAGAAATAGTATTGACTAAAAAACACTTTATCAAAGACATTATAATGTTTAAAAGAGCATCTTTTGACTTACCAAGTACGTAAAAGTTCTTTTCTAACAAGTATAAATTAAATTCACTATTAAAAGAATAAAACGTATTTTAAAATTTAATATGTTGTTTGTTGATATTTTTTTATTATTTAAACAATAAGTTATTGTTACGATAATAAATATTATGGCGTATAAAACTGTAAATATATTATGACTGGGCCCGCGTAGCGCAAGCGGTAGTGTGCTTGCCTCGCATGCCGGTGGTCGTGAGTTCGAATCCTACCGCCGGCAAGAACAACTAGGCATTTTTAAAAATGTCTATAGGCCCCAGGTCGACTCAGCCTGAATAAAATGAGTACCTTGGGTAAAACCAGGGGTAATAATAGGCGGTTGAAGCGTAGCACTGGCCATGTTACCTTCCTTGTATACCGTAGGCCCTAGATATAGCAGACTACCCTGCTATACTCCCAAAGCCGCGTGCGGTATAAAACGGGAGACTATTATTATTATTATATTATGACTAATTCTTTTCTATTTCTAGAAATTTCGGCCCTCACATGAAAGACCTGTTTACCTGCCGGCAGAAATCTCTAGTCCCTTCGCCGAAAGACTAGTCCATGAGTCACCTTGTCATCTAATGGTTGGAAGGTCATCGATTCATTGCCAGATCCTTCTAGACAACGGCATTATAATATATAATAACAATATATATATATATATATATATTATATATATATATATATATATATATATATATATATATATAATATATATATATATATATATATATATATATATTATATATATATATATATATATATATTGTTTTAGTAAATTAAAATAAGAACAATAAATTAAAATTAATAAAAACATTACATTGGTGTCAGAAGAAAAGTGCAATAGTGGAAATTGTAAAAATGGCTACGATTTATAAACTCACAGTTATGGATTTAAGAAGACATCTCGAGGACAGAGAATAAGCTTCTACCGGAAAAAAGGCTGATTTAGTCCAACGACTAAAGAACACGCTTTAAAAGAAGAGGGTTTGAATCCGGAACCTTATATATTTGAAGACAAGCATGTTGCTGTCATCTCGTCGATTTCGAAATTACAGAACAAAGTTTCTGGCGATATTTCGAAAGTTTCCGCCGACATTGCATCATTAGAGAACAAAGTTTTCGGCGACATCGCTTCCTTAGAAGACAAAGTTTCTAACGAGATTTCTTCCCTAGAAAGCAAAGTTTGAGCTAACATCTCCGTGAAAATCTCTAAAGTCACTTCTGAGATATCTGCTCTCGACGATAGGATGTCTTCGTTAAAAAACCAAGTGGCTGCCGATATGTTGGCGTTCGAAGAAAAGAGGAAAGCAATGGAAAAGAAGCTGGAGGAAACAGGGACAGCAGAGAGAGGAAACAATCCAATTACAGCAGAGACAATACCTCTATGGAAGAAAGTTTTTAATCGGAACCGACCATGCTGCCCTTCAGTGGTTGATGCAGTTTAAGAATCCAGAGGGTCAGATAGCCAGGTGGATCGAACGAATCCAAGAATACGATTTTCAAGATTGAGCACCGGGCTCTAGTTAGCCACAGAAACTATGATTCTCTTTCCAGAAGGCCATGCCCAGCAGCATGTGCTTCATAATAAATTAGAATTAATAAAACATTACATTATTTTAAGATCATAGGCGTTGTGAGAAAATTTTTTGTTTGTTATTTTTGGACAAATTTTTTAACATTTATTGCAATATTATTCTTTTTGATTTGTATAGACTCCGGGAGCTTCCTCTTCTTCCTGTTATGTTCACTTTTTAGAATATTGATTTTTCAAAATCAAATTTATGTTTATTGTCGTTTTCATGTTTTGTGAGGTAGGTTGAGTTTTTTTTTGTCATATTTGAGAGAACGTATTCTTGAGTTAAGTAGCTGACTGATTTGTCCAATATATACTTCATCATAATTCAAGCAGGGAATTTCATACACAAGATGCGATTTTTGTAATGTAGGGCTTTTGTTTTTAGTCCTATACAATTCTTTTTCGAAAGATTGTGCCCTTTATGAGCAACCGTAGTGTTCTGTTTGCCAGAAGATTTGCAGGTTGTTCTGATAAATCTTTTATATACGAGAGAGACAAAACTAAATTTCACATTAAAAGTTAAAAAAAAATTGTCTAAAAAAGTTTCAGGACCTGACTTTACATAGAGAAAACAGCACTATAACTACTTCATGGTAAACAAAAAAAAAACCTGCTCGTCGACATATCTAAATTTCAACTCTCATCATCCCTTATCTCAAAAGAAATCTGCAGTTATCGGACTCGCGGATAGAGTTATTAGATTATCCGATCCTATCAATAGACCTTAGGCCATTAAAAAAACAAAAACAGCGCTAACACTTAATTCATACCCACACCATCTTATCGACATTACTTTCAAATCGCGACTGCATACATTTTACAATAACAATAATAACAATAAAACCAACATGGTAAAGAAAAACTATCTTTACTATGTCTATGTCTCTCCCCTATATAAAAGGTTTATCAGAAAATCTTGCAAATCTTATGTTATTAAACATAACATTACGGTTGCTCATAAAGGGCACATCTTTTTGGAAAATAATTTTACAAGACCAAAAACAAAAACCATTCCAATAAAAAAATCGCATGTTGTGTACGAATTTCCCTGCTCGAATTGTGATGAAGTATATATGGGACAAACCAGTCAGATACCTAACTCAAGAATACGTTTTCATGAATATGATAAAAAAAACTTAACCGTCTCACAAAACATAAAAACGAAAAAAAAAACATAAATTTGTTTTTAAAAAACCAATATCCTAAAAAGTGAACTTAACAGGAAGACAAGAGAGCTCTTATAGTCTATACAAATCAAAAATAATAATAATACAATAAATCATAAAAAAGGTGTCAAAAATATAAACAAGATATATTTTAATTCAATTTAAAAACACACAAAAAGATAATCTCAGAACGTCTATGATGTTAAAATAACTGATTGTTAAAATGATAAACCAACATCAATAAACAACAAATTAAATTTTAAAATACATTTTACATGTAGTGATTAGTGGGTCTGTCATATGCTTTATTCTTATTTTAATTGTGACGTTTAATGTATACTTGTTAGCAACGAACTTTTACATGCTTAGTTAAGTCAAACGTTTCTCTTTTAAACCTAATAAAATGTATTTAGATAATATTTCTTGAAAAAGGCATAGATTTCCTGCCAAAACGCAGAAAAAAGTAAATAAAAATGTCTATATATACAAAAATTTTTATAGTCATAATAATACCTTTTAAATAATATATATATAACTATGTCTATTGCACTTTGTGCTAAACTCATTATAAGATAAGTTGAACAGATTTGCAGTTGATATGAAAATATTAATTTTTAAATTGAATTATGTATATAGATAAATGGAAATATAATTTCAGAGATAAAATACTTTTTACAGATAAGATATAGTTTTTATTAGTATCAGCTATAGATGAACATTGTCTTAATCGAATTTGAAAAGGTGAGTACTGAGGTATGTAATTTATTTTTTATTTCCCAATGTAAATCTAAGGTTTATTTTTATTTACCTATTTTTAAACTTAAAATTGTTTAAATTGTATATAATTTTATGTTTTAATAAAGCCCCATTTTTATTTGTTAGTTATCACTTCTACGAAACGGAGAATTCGTTTTTTGACCTAAAGTTATTATAATCGTCATTAGGATAACAGTCGTCTAGTCACAGTCCAGTAACTTTTTGTATGCGTAAAAGAGGGAGTAGTTAAAAAGTATTTTATCTAACATAAAATTTTTCGCTAAATATGAATATTATCTAAGTCCATAAATTTTAAAATATCTACTATTTAGCATGCATATTGTTAACATGTACTAGGCTGCTGTGTGCTTGTGATTCTGCAAGAGCGAAAAGCTCTATGTGTTTATTGCTTGTTAACTCAATGAAAAAGATAGTTTCTTAAATTTTTTTTAATAGTATATTGTGAAAGACAACCCACACAAACATATGTTTAAATTACCTCTTCAACCACAGCATCAGGACAAAAATTGTTAAATCCCTATATGGTAGGGTGCGAAGCTACAGGTCTAATGAAAATATATTCAGGAAGGGTAAAACCTGCTAACAAATGTTCTGACTAAAAATAACTACCCCCTATAGTTTATAAACCAGGAATTCTACAAGATCAAAGAAAGAAAACAACAAAACACAACAAACAATCCAAAAACACTCACAAGAAGGGACTCAAAGATAACAACAATATCATCTGTAAGGGGCTAATCAAACAAGTACAATATCACAACAGCATTCAAAACAACCAACACACTCAGGTCCTTCCAGTCCAAAATCAAACCCAACAATACACACGAAAAATAAAAAAACTGCATCTATAAAATTCTTGTGAATGCCTCAATTTTTACTTGGGAAAAACGGCAAGAAAGTTTAATGTAAGGATAAAGGAGCATGAAGCATAGATTAAAAACAGAAATTGTAAAATATACTAGATATGCAAACATACCTGGAACAACGACCAAAGATCACAACCGAAAAATGCATCAATAATCATGAACAAAAGAAGACATGAAAAAGAAAAAAAATCAAAGAAGGAGCTCTTATCCTACTCAACGAAAAAAATTGTGTAGTAAACCCATTAGCAGAATGTATCCAGCTTTGTTTGTTAATACTAAAAAAAGAAGTCAACAACAAGAATATTCCAACAATAGCTGAGTAACTCGAAGTTAAACACATAATCTATAATCTAACACACAACACATATGCAACACACAACACATTTTTTACACAAACATCTAACATGGAACAAATAAAAGCAGTCAGGATTTGATATTCCTAGAAAACGATCAAATTTACAAAAAAGCTGCAATAGACATTTTGTTCAGAATGATCCAAAAAATTCAAAAAAAGTTTCCGGTCCAAAAAATTGATTGTTACGATTTGTTTAAAAAATTTACCAACTGTTCGCCTAGGTGACCTCTTGAACTTTAATTTTGGGGTATCTCGTGAAAGTAATTATTCAATAAAATAAAAAAAATAAAAAAATGTTTATTTTATTTATAGAAAAAAAATTTACATCCCACCATTTATTTTAATATTATTGTTAATAATTAATATTCTTTTAGAGTGAAGCCAAAATGAGATCAATAGTATTTGTTACTTTATTGATTGTTGTACAAAGTCTTGCTAATGAAAGGCAATGGCAGCAGTTTAAAGTAAGTTGATTTTAAAATTTTATAAAGAGATACTTTAATTATGTGGTAAATGAATTATGTTAATACTTTAATGTTATCATTAAAACTAACTGACGCGGCCACGCTTTGCTGTAACTCGCTTTTTTTGGACGATTAATATTATGTTCAAATATTTAATACAGTTAAGGAAATATCATAAAATCCTTGTATCAAAGTTCAGATATTAACATAAAAAAATTAAATTTACGATTGACATAAAATTCACCAAAAAAAATTATATTTAAACGTAACCTAAAAATTTCATCATCATATACCGGGGGTCCTACGGCGATTGCCGCTTCCCGCATTTCAGCCTCCATCTTTTCCTATCTCTTCAATTTCCCTCGTCTAAGCCTCTAGATTGCATTGATTTTGTAGTTTCTCTTCTTCAGAAATTTGGTGGTTTTCCCCTTTTCCTTCTTTCTGGCGGAACATTCATTAAGGCTTTCTTTATTTGGGTCTCCACCGCTCCTCCTCCATTCTCATCACGTGATCATACCATTGTAATTACCTTCCTTGTATTCTACCTGAAAGAGTATCTCTAATTCCTATACGGTTTCGTATTTCCTATTCCTGATTGCCTCAAAATTGCCACCAAAAATAAGGTGAAGTAATCTCAGAGACATATAATACATCCATAAACATATAATATACATAGACTGAGCGCTGTAATACAGATCCGTTCCACCAGTGCTACAGAGAGAACTGACACATACCACTCCCTGCATCTCTTTCTAATGAGCTGAGTCTAACGACCATGTGACCTAAATGACCAATACGAAGGTAACATTGTCGATAAACGCATTTCATAAGAAAGAAATGCAAAAACTACTTTGTGTCCATTTCCTCTGTCAAACTAGGGACTGTATTGCAGCGCTCACTCTATGTACATTATAATATGTTTATGAATATTACAGTATAAAAAATACACAAAATCAAATGAAATTTATACTTAATATTTTGCTAATTCTTTTTTTTTGTGTGTAGACATGACTATATTCATTTTTCAATGTGTCTCCGGTAAGTTTCCATTTCATTGTTTTCGTTATCTTTACACTGACCGTCTTATTATTGGAACCTAGTCTTCTTAATTACTCTATTTGTTGTCATTTTGCCTATATGATCATTCCTTTCTAGTCTTCTATTTTTTACACAATCCTTGATGTCCTCTATTTTGCAATATGTATATCTAAGTAGTTTTAAATAATATTTCAAATAAATCAAAATATTATCTTTTCGTATTAATTAGACTACACTAACACTTAAACACAATTAATTAATTTAAATTATTTATTACTCAGCTTATTTTTTTTTCTTTGAGTTACTCCTAATAATAAATCAATCTCTTTTTATAATTTTTTTTGTAACTTGATCGTTGATCGGGTATATTCCATGAGCTTCTAGATTTGTGCGTCACAGGTTATCGAAAGCCGGACTGATGTTCGATAGGCAAGGCGCTGACGTAGCCATACACAAAAAGAAAATAAAAAGCATACTAGTAGTTCAACTTTTATAGCCCTACGTCAGATATTGGAAAAACGAGTTCAGCAGTTCCTTAAAAAACTGTTACTGGTATTTCCATTTTTAAAAAGGTTAGGCAATGTACGGATTGTAATGGTCCTCCCCATATTGAATTTGTAAACTGGCTGTAGAATAAAAAGAATCTGCATTCTAATTTTTATCTCACATTTTACTTAACGGTGAAACTACTTTTATAAGAAATCAAATTGTTAACTTATACAACGCACGTTATTACACCTTATTATTAACGTTATTTACTTTTGTAACAGAAGATTCAAGTAAAACAAAAAGAAAATAGCATAAATGTCTGGATAGTGTCATTGGTAATCAGCTACTAGGCATTATCGGCTGTTTTGGCCCGTCAGGATCTACAGTTTTTATGTGATGGTTTCTCAGCTCATTTTGATAAAGCAGTTTGTCATTTTATTAGGAATACTTATGAAAACTAATTGATTGGAAGAGTTCATTTAAACAATTATCCTCCAAAGTCTTTAGATTTTATCATTTACAATTTTTGTATTTGACATAATACATAAAATCGTTGCTTCATACTGTTTCAATAAAATTTCATTACCAACTTTGGTATCTACAAACCTTTAGAACAATAAAGTAGCTTAGTAGAACCCACTGTTTCTTTGACAAGTTTCGATGTGGTTTTATGCAAGAGACCTGGCTATACTGGCGTATAAAATGTTCTAGAGCCCATATAGAATATTTTTTCAAAGTATGAGGTACAGTAGTTACTAGAAACTAAACAGTAAGCCAATCATATGCGATATAAATGGTGTAAAAAGACAGCTTCTAGGAAAACAGATAAAAATCATATTTAATTTTTGTAAACGTTTGTATCGTTATTGTACCAAATCTTACTTTTTGAGTTCTAAAAAAAAACTGGAATTTAGCTTTAAATTTTTTATATGTTCCTACTAAAAATAACAATGATATAATAGTTTTAGGCCGCCAAGATTTTTATATTTATAAAATTTAAACTAGGGCTAATAGAATAAGTCAGTGTCAACGGTTTAAAAAAATGCCATAAAATTATTAAATATTGTTTAAAGCGTAAAAACTGTTTGTATTTTTAACATCTGTTTATACTGTTATTTTAGGAAACATATAATAAAAATTATGACATTACAAAAGAAAATTACCGATTCAACATATTTATTAATAATCTAAGAAGAATTGAAGAACACAATATTCGATATCATAATGGTGAAGTAAAATACTCCTTAGGGATTAATCAGTTCGCTGACCTTACTGCGGAAGAGTTTATTTCCAGAATAACAAACCCAATTTCTAACACGTTACCTGCAAGTAACAGCGATGTAGAGATTACAGGTGACGTTCCAGATGAAATAGATTGGCGCGAAAAAGGAGCAGTAATAGGAGTGAAAAACCAACTAGAAGGTTGCAAATCGAGCTGGGCTTTTACCGCGGTAAGACTCTATTGAATTAATATTATTTATAAAAGTTAATATACTTTTCCCACAAATTTTTACAAACTTTTTATATGTACTGTAGAAAAAAATACCTATAATCGGTTCACAATTTGTCGATAGCTCACTACAAGTTTAACCCTAATTAGAGAACTGTAATACAGAGAGGATAGGTAATACAATATAATAGTAAAAACCAACCTGAAACTGACGGTTTAAGATGTTTTAGACTAACCTCGTATCGAAAGAAATACAATACATCAATCAACCTTATAATCCGATTACGAATGTATTTTGGTTACAGATGACCGAATAGTGTCGTAGACTATATGATTGAAACATTTATTTAAACTAAATAAATATATATTTTAAATTGTAGTTATGTAAATTGTATTTTTGTTCTAATAAAACTTCTTTATATTATTCAAAAATAAAAAGTTTCTTGCCATTTGTAAAAGATGCATTTATTTAATTAAAGGGAAAGGCGCCAAATGTCGCCTGGCAAAATTTTCTATGTGTTTTAAATGTATCCATTATTTTCGAATCCGTAGAAAACTAATAAATATTTTTGAAAAATTTAAACGCAGAATGAAAGATTACATTTTTACTGAGGTCAGAAAGTCCCTGAAAACTTCTATAATGTTTATTTTAATATGTTATGTAACGGGGGTGAAAATAAAAGAGAAAATATAGTATAATTTTTAATTGAAAATATTGCATGCAAAAGAAACTTTTTATTTATTCTAATAAATATTTCATTCTGCCTTTAAACTTTAGACTTTTAAACTAAAATGCTTTTTAGTTTTCTCAGGATTTGAAAAAAAATGGATACATTTAAAGCACATTGAACATTTTGACAGGCGACATTTTGCGACTTTCCCCTTTAATATCTTAAGATTACAACTACTATTACTTACCTTATATAATTACGATTAGAGAACTATTCAAATTCAAAGTAAATAGGATCAACTTCGGAATCCAAGTCGTATTGAGGGTTCATAATTAGCGGGTGTGTCTCTACGGTCGCATCAATTATGTTATTAAGACCCCACATTTTTTGTTCTTCTTCTATTACACGTCTTACTGCATCTTTCCAGTTTTGTTCTGTAATATGTTATAAAGACTCGTATTCGTAACAATTCACGTACAGCTTGTATTTTATATGACGTATTTTTTCTAGCCACATAACTTTTCATTTGCGCCAAGCATGCAAGCAATTTGATTGAACTCAGCCTATGAGAAATGTTCACCCAGGTAGTACGATCTGGTGTAACAATTCATTGGAGCAAGGTGTTTTAACTCGAGTTTAAAAACAGGAGTCACCCCACCGTGCTCCAATGCTCTAGACCATCCGTTTCCCCCCTATAGCAATCTGATTCGCTATAGAGGCACAACAATCAGCCAAGTGCTCTTCATGTGGAGGTCCTGGGTAATAGAACCTCAACATGGTTTTCTAACCGAATGCAAAAAACTCAGGACAGCGCATCTCCGCTATATTCCTGTTTATCTTAATGGCTTATCCGCGAACTAAAATTGCTTACTTGGGTCTCAAGTCTCCGCTCTGAGTCCCGGCTCAGTTCGGCGACTGGTGCTCAAGGGGGTTGGGCCCTACGTGCCCGGGTTTAGGGGTTTTTGTTAATTTTTTTGGTGGTCGAAGCCGGTTTTTTGTTAGTGTTTTTTGATTTTTTTTGTGGCCGAAGCCGGTTTTTTGTGTTTTTATGATTTTTTTTGTTCCTTTGTGCCAAAATGAATTGAATTGGATTTATTTCGCAGTGGTAGGGTGGAAGTCTAAGGACTGTGATATTTCGCCTTTTCGCCATTTTGTCAAATATGTATTTGTTGAACTTTGTGTAGATTTGTAATGCCTGTCAATTTTTAAAAGTTTTTTTTTTACCATTCCATCTTCGTAAGGCAGATACTTATTCCGCAGCCAGTCAAAAATATCCTGTTTCTTCCAAGCATTCGTTGGAAGTCTTTCTACTAGTCGTGAATGATAAGGTGCATTATCTAATTTTTTTTAGAGTATGATTTGAGTTTACCCACGTTTCATTCTGGTAGAACTAACATCCAGGTCTCTAACTTGTTGTAAAATTTTGTTTAGGTTTGGTATTTCTTTTTAAAAAAATCCATGAATTTTCCTTCGAATGCCATTTTTGGCAAAAACATCAATTTCAAAAGGCTTTTTCCCTCTGTTTAAGTGTTCATTTGTGTTTGGGTTAGCTATACCGTGTTTTTTTCCTTTCTGATAGGAACCTATATATAGTTGACTCCCATAGGCCAGTCATGTTGGCACAACTTTCGACTATGTTGCGAACAGTGTTTGTGGGATTCTGAGAAACCAGAGCATCGTGAACGTTCAGGACAATAGTCTTCTCTCTTGGTGAATAGTCAGACTCACTGACTGTACGCAACAGTACCGGTGTAAAACTTGATGATGTTGATGATGAATTCATCACAAACAATCCAACAAAACGACCACGAGCGAAAGGTACCTATATGTTCGTAGGTATATGAAATAAAAAATTAGTCATACACTGCATATAATTCGCAAAAGAAATATTCGAGACGCTAATTACTACCGTAGACGCGGAGACACCGACGACCGCAAATTACATGCGAATAAAAACGTACTAAACAAAAAAATTGTTTTCGTTCGTAATAACTTCATCTTTTCAAGTTAAGTTTCGAATGTAAACTGAACAGACGAGGCACGTGGCCAAATCAGGCATCTTTATACCCACTATATTATTAAAAATCTGGGGCATTCCATCCAATTTATCTGGCAACGAATAGTACCTTCAGATATGAATTCCAGGTTTTCTGGTAAAGTGATTAAACGCGAAGATTAGTATTGAAATATCCAAAGAAATAAGGTATTCTTATTTACAAAATTGTTAATGGTCAAATTCTTATTTTTATTAATATAATAGAATAACCAACATTAGCCGTGAAAGTTTTAATTGTTTTTTGCTAAATATATTTTACGACAGTTTTATGACTTTGAGGCACATTCCGTGCTAAAAACAATTTTTGAACGGATAATAATGCCATGTTTCATCAAACAGATACACAATTTTTTATGCAGTCGGTTGCATTTTGTTACAAAAGATCTAATCAATTCTTTTAGTTTAAATCTACTACGTTTTACGTTAAATGTAAATCTACTACGTTACTAATCTTAATTTTTTTTAAATTTATTATTAACTGTATAATAAAATTATCATATAATCCCTCAAAAGTTGTATTACCTTTACCAAAAACTCTGCTATATATCCATCCTGGTACCTGACCTTTAGCGAATGAGAGCATTGATTATAGCAATCACAGGTTTTATTGATACAACTTTCAAGAGTTCCAGTGATGGTAGAAACCACAAACTACTAACCTAAAACTACTCTAAAAACCACAAACTACGTTATAGTCCTGAAGCTATTTTCTTGTGGCATTGTAAATTAATTACTATTTAACTGGGAATAAGCCACAATTAAAGATAAAAATATGTTTATTGACGTTTCAATTTCCACTTCGAAAATCGTTCTCAAAATACAAACAGTAAATTAAACAAATTTTGTTTTTTGTTATTATTATTTTTTTATTATTATTTGCTTATTCCCAGTTAAATAGTAATTACGTTATAGTTATTTTTGTAGCACTTTTTTATGAAAGTATTTTAACGTTTTATATTTTGTATATCCTAATAGTTTACTCTAACCATACAAATGTTAACATCTACATCCGATCTTACTTTCGTAGTAACTTTAACCAAAATAAAAAAGATGTTAATAGACTAATCTTTTTTATTCAGATGTACATCGATGTCTACTTATAACTTATTACATTTTTTGCCTTAATCTTGCTTATTTAAGAAAGATTTTGCTAATTTTTGCTAAATTTTGTGCTAATATAAGTCCTCATTTTGATCTCCCTGCTATATTAAAATCTGATCTTTAGTCAATACCAATGATGAAGGGTGTCTTAAAATAGATAAATTATTTAAGTATGGCAAATTCACAAATCTGTGGAAAGACATCATCATCATAATAAGTCTGTATCAACTCCATATAACCACATAATAGAGGTCGGTTTCTGCTTCTTCTTCCTATAGGTGTTTCTGTCGTTAGTTTTTTAACAATCGCGTTGTCAGGCATTCGTATTATGTGTCCTTTAATTAAAATGTTTGAAATTTTTAACATTTGTTTAAATTAGTTACCTTATAATTTGATACTTCATTATGGTTGTTCTATTTTTGGTAAGATTTGATCGTTCACTAAAAATTTAATAAAAGTTCGACTACATTGTCGCATATGTCGTTTTCATTGGCTATTTATGTAGTTTGAACATCACTTATTGCATTTTAAAAAAAATATATACAGGGTGTAATATTTAATACGAATCCCTAAATTAATTTTTCCAAAGCCAGTCCTGGAATTTTTTAGTTTAGCTAATACCAGTCGAATGCTTGATAGTAGTGTACTGTATCATGCAAAAATTAAAAAAATCAAATGAGCCGTATAAACACTACAGTAAAATGAAATAAATGGTCAATTACACAAATCACCCTGTTAATTAATAAAGAAGAGGAGTTGACATTTTTTAGTGGCCACATGATATGCTCCCTGAGGGACTCTACATATGGTAGAAGTATTTAAAGTTTCTCATGACTCACCCTGTATATGTGACACTTCATTTATTTTTTTTATTTATGTTTCTATCCTTAACATAAATTAATATTATATATCTACATTAAATTTGAATAATAATAAGATTCACTTTTAAAATATTTTTAGACTGGGGTTATTGAAGGACAAATAGCCATTCACAACAAACAAAACATCTCTCTAAGTGAGCAACAATTAATAGACTGTTCTACCGAATACCATTATAACCGTGGATGTAGAGACGGAAATTCAGATTATGCTCTGTTGTTTATTCATGACCATGGAATATGCTCTGAAAGTGACTATCCATACACAGCAACAGAAGGTTCGTGTCAAAACTGTTCTCTAGTACTGGAAACAGTAGCGTACCCAACAAGTGTGCTAGAAAACGAAATTTCACTGAAGCAAATTGTAGGTATGTAGATATAAAATACTAAATATTAAGTACAGTTTTACAACATGTTTTACTCAATTTTGACAGGATTCTCAACATCCATCTTTTATTTCTTTTAGTTTGTGTAGTTTTAAATATGCAGTTTTCTTTATATATTATAACATTTTCTAATTAATTTTCCTAAAGAGGTGATTCATTTCATCCATTAATCTTAAAATTTTTGTTTCTTATCTCTATTAATGTTTTCTTCCACTTTCATGTCATGTTTTTTACGTTTTTTTTTTTGTTATTTGGTATATCTTATTCTTCTTGTATTCGTATTTTCTATTAAATATACTATAATTTTGTGACTGCAGCTTTTTATTACCAAATTATTTTTTTTTGCTCTAGTATTATTTGTTTTATATTTTTGATACCCTGTTTACTAATTCAAATTTCATATTGCATTATAGTGCACCACAAAAAAAACAAAATCGTTAAGACCTATTACAAAACTGGCTTAAGCAATGAAAGATCAATGTTAATGCCAACAAGTCAGTACAAATTACTTTTAAAACAAGAAAATCTATATGTCAACAAGTTTCTATTAATAGTACCATTATTCGCATCAAACCAGTTGCCAAATACTTGGGATTGCATCTAGATAAAAAGTCACATGAAAAACGCACATTAAATTTACACAAATAAGCATTTGAACTGGCTATTTAACAAAAGGTCTCAGTTATCTCTTAAAAATAAACTACTTTTGTACAAAGCTATATTCATACCAGTTTATGCATACAAAATAGAACTATGGGGCTGTAGTAAACTTTTAACCCGGCGCCAGTATGGTCGAAAATTACAACATGTATGGTTTGGTGGGGTATGAGATACCCCGTTTGAATATTTATTATATTCTTTTATATACTACAAAATTACCTGAATCAATGTATTATTTATTTTATTAAAACAAAGTTGAGCATGAAAGGAGATTTAATATTACAAAACATATCAGAATATGATAAAAATTTACCGATAATACTAGAGTAATCTTAACTTGGACACTAAACGTATATAAAAGCTGCTTGTAACATAAAAACTCTAATCTTATCTAAATCTAATCTGCGTTACTTGTTTTACATTTGATACATATTTGCTCTGAATGTTCCATGCAAACCCACTGCTCACAAGCAGAACAAGTTAGATGAGATTTTCTATCTTTTGATCGTGGACAGATACAACATCTTCCCATTCCTTTTCTTTTTTTGGACGTTGATGGCTGAGGTTCATCTTCGTTTTTGCGCTTCTTTGATGATGTTATTATTTTTTTTTCATAACACTCTGGGTAATTTTGAATTTTCTTTCCTCTCGTGAAGGTGGTCTGTAACCAAAGATAGTCCCAACTCTTTCAAGAAAAAACGTCGCTTCATCCGTTTATCCACAGGATTGTTTGCATTAAAAATTACCATAGCATTAATTCCAGCGGTATTCGACAATGAATAAAACATGGCTAGCGGCCATCTCCTAGTATTTCTACTGACACTATAGTTACCACTAAGCTCGTCCACCACGTCTACTCCTCCTTTAGTGAAGTTGTAAAAACTAATCATCTCTGGTTTTTCAGCTTCGCCAGTGGCTGGATCTATTTTGTCATCATGATGGAGGGAAGAAAGAAGTAAAACATTCTTTCCTCTCCGAGGGATGTATGACAGCAATGTTACATCATGCGTAAAACCGAAGAGTGAACTCCGTTCAGGTCTCTTTTTTGTCTGAACAAAGGCAGGAGGAAGCTCCCTTTTATTTTTACGTAAGGTGCAGACAGCTGGTAATCGATGCTCTTTTAGTAATGTGTATAGCAGAGGACTACTGGCAAACCAATTGTCAAAAGTAAAGTTTCTGGCAGTGCCACTTATGGGTGCTATTAATCTAACAACAATGTCTTCTGGTTTGTTACTTATTTGAAACGGACCTTCGGGTTGTTTTCCGAGGTACGCCTCCATATTAAACAGGTAAAATGTTCTCGCATCTACAACGGCAAAAATTTTCAAGCCGTATTTTGCCGGTTTATTTGGCATGTATTGCTTGAACGGGCATCGCCCGCGAAAGGACTCCAATTTTTCGTCTATAGTGACGCATTCTCCAGGAATGTAGTAAGCTTTGCAATTTTCGGTAAAAAGATCAAACATTACCCGAAAAGGGGCAAATTTATCTAACTGGCGTCTTTCATTTCTGGACTCTTTATTATCAAATCGCATGGAAGATATAATGAACATAAAACGTTTCAGTGACATGGTTGTTCTAAAAATATCTACGCCTAAGCCATCAGTACTCCATAAATCTTCTAAATTCATCCTATTGGCACGAAATACACCAGCCAAATATAGGAGTCCAAGCACCGCTTTCATTTCTTGTATTGTTGTTGGTTTTACGAGGTATTGCATATTCTTGTTATAAACTGTTGCTTTCTGACCCATATTCAGATTCGTATACTTTACAATATCTGCCAACATCATATCGTTCAAAAATAAATTAAAACACTCAAGAGGAGTTTTCGCATTTCGAGCAACGCCCTTTGGTCCCGAAAGATGGCTTACGATATTCTCGCGTCGTGTGCGTACTTTGAGGTTACCACAAGATTTTGACCACTTAGTTTTTCCATCACGTCCTATAAAATATTCTCTTGTATTTGAGGATTCATCGTCTATTGCTGAGTTGTTGGATATGTTTTCTGTCATTGCTTCAGGCACTTCTGGATCCACAATTTCAGAATCTGATTCTGACATTGAATTTTCGCTGATATGATCGGGAAGTTCTCCCTCAGATTCTGAACCAATAGCGTGTTCATCTTGCGATTCTTCCCACAATTGCAGGAGCCTTCTTTGTTCTTGTTCATAAGACATTCTGTAATAAAATATCACTAAAACCCTGCAAATATACAATAAATTTCAATACATTACCTTAAAAAATATATAACACTACCGGTATGGTGGGGTATACAACACCCCAACGCTGTTTACACGAAAATATTTTACTACTGCTTCACTCGACGGTCGCGAACAAACTGATGAAGACAGTATATAACCTAACTCGAAAATAGGCGGGGTTTAACTGTTTGATGTTTGAAGTTGCGCAAACGCGGGCGTTTTAAATTCTCGTGGGGTATAGAAATACTTCAAACATTTTAATCTAAAATACTCCGTATGATAAGTAAGGCTACATAGTATGTATCTAACCAAACACTTTACAATGATATGGACATACCACTAATCAAAGACATAATGAAAAATCATTCAAAAAATATAAAAATCTCACCACTGATCAAAACAACAAACTAATAAATAATTTATTCACCCAACCACTTGACGAAAGAAGACGGACGAAGTATGATCAGAAGACCTACTGCAGTAATACTTAGAGAACCGTCACTGGACGGTATAAAGTCGATTGCAAACATGCAATGTAATAATAAAAAAAAATTATAGTGCCTACCATATTATTAAAAATTTTATTGTGTCTAGTAATATGTTATGTATATATATACTATAAAATAAGAATGGCCCTAAATCAACTGAAAACGAATAAATGTCAGGAAGAGGATAAAATTACAGTTGAAATGTTAAAAATTGGTGGCAGAAAAATGAAACAAGTATTAAATATTTTATTTAATAAAATAGTTGATGAAGGCAAGATTCCTCAAGAATGGTACAACTCCCGAAATCATTTTACTATTCAAAAAAGGAGACAAAGCAAACATCGAGAATTACCGACCAATATCCCTGCTATCATATCTGTATAAATTACTAACTAAAATCATAACCAACCGCCTAATATATAAGCTCGATTTCTATCAACCTATCGAGCATGCTGGATTCAGAGCACCAGATTTCTGCTTATAATCTGAGCCTTCTAAAAATTGAAGGCAAACAGACGTTGATAAAAGATGTTGAAATTCTGAATCTGAATTGTGTTTCGAAACTATTTTACGGATTTTGTAATTAAAGGTCGCTAGCGCGTTCGTATTGAAGGCATGTTATTGTTACTTCTTAAAAGGCAGAAAATATTGATTTTTAACGTTGAAAACTATTATAAATAGCTGTTCTGATGAGACCTATTAGGTCGAAATACGTATCAATAGATACATAGGATTTGTTTGCGTGAAATCAAATATTTGCTGCCTTGTTTCATTTTATTCGGATTTACTCTGTGTGAGTACTAGAAGCACAATTCGCTAAGGATTTCTGCTTAGTTGTAAAAGACATGTCGTGGAATGCAAATTTTAGATTTCCATGTCCCTTTTAACATCTTTTATCAACGTCTGTTTGCCTTGCAGTTTTTAGAAGGCTCAGATTATAAACAGAAATCTGAATTGTGTTTCGAAACTATTTTACGGATTTTTTAATTATATATTTGACTGCGAGATTATACCTAACTTATACAGAAGTAAAAAAACTTTAAAATTTGTATGTTGGTATGATGCTCCCTACAGCAAACTACCTGGTAGTCCTTTAATTCCAAGGTTGTATGGTTTGCCGAAGATAAATTAGGTGGGAATTTCCATTCGTCTCGAAGTCAGTTTCATATTAATTGGTTGATAAACTTCATTGATAAAACGTACTTGATAAAACTAAAAGTTTTAATGCTGATATTACTATGCATTCTTTTGACGTTAGCAATTTATTTACTTCAGTGCCCAAACTCAAAACTCTTAGTCTACTAAAAACACTCCTAGTTAACAAGTCTATTTAGTCCAACGTCATTTTATCGATACTGAATATCCTTGAATTATGTCTATCTTAATATTTTTTCCAAGTCAATATCAAAGTTTACAAAGAACCTGATGGTGTAGTAATCGGCAGTTGCTTTTCTTCCTTTCTGGCTGATGTCTTTATGAATCATTTAGAATCCAATTAAATCATAAAAACTCCTAAAAGTCTTTATTGGTTCCGTTATATTAATCACTGTTTAGTCTTTATCTTAAAAATTTTGACTCTGCCCAACAACTACTTCTTAAAATCAATCAAATCCACCCAAATATCAAATTTACCATGGAACTAGAATCTTCCCAAGACGTTAATTTCCTAGATTTATCTATTACCAGACTCAATAGTAAATTTGACTTTGGTAAAGCCACCAAAACGGCTCATGTCATTCATTCTTGCTCCAATCATCCCCTATCACACAAATTAACTTCTTTTAGAAGTTTCATCCACAGACTATATTCCGTACCTATGTTAACTGGCTCCTTTATTAAAGAACTTAACGTCATAAAACAAATAGCTGCCAACAATGGTTATATTCCTTGTATAATAAATAAACTCATCTGTAAAAGAGAACACAGATTGCTTCAAAATTCTGATTTTAATCAAGATTCTTCTTCTACCCCAATTTATAGGTCTTTACCATATCACATCCTCACATTATCTGAAAAGATCAGACATATTATAATTAATTCTTCAGAAAACAAATATATATTTTAAAGTTTGGAATACTCTTAACCATTCCTTGAAAAATACTAAAGATACAATACACTATATGAACCGTAGTAGAGGTTACAAACTGACTTGTTCGATTGCGATTCAACTAGATCTACAGAACACTCCAAATAAAATAATGCATCAGATTTTTCTCATCACCTTAAAGTTCACCAGGTTGTCATCACAACATCCAAGATAGAAGTACTTTACGGCTGGATTTGAATGAGGACCGTGAGATTTCCAAAGATATGAGAACTAGCCTCAGTTGTGTCAACCGCCAAACTATCCTAAATCGACCTTTTACTCCCATACATCGACAACTATTCCCTTAATGAAAATCATTATTTTAATAATTGTCTTGAAATTTCATTTTTTCTCTCTTTTGCTACTATTTTTCTTCATTTATACATGTATACAAAAAAATACTGAAATTTTCCCATTAATTTTTAGATTATACGTACTTTAATAATATTGTTAGCCATGTAATAAATTATATTAAAAAATTAAACATTAGTTAAATTAAAATTTTAATTGTTTTAAGCAATATTTAAATAGGTTTTAGCAATTATCTATAAATTCTCATTTTTTTCATCCATTATTTATTTCAGGAACCGTAGGCCCAGTTGCGGTTGCTCTTTCTGTCAACGAAAATTGGCAGTTGTACAAAGGTGGTATTTTCGATGATTCCACTTGCACCGGATATGCTATCAACTACTGGTCTTTGGCTGTCGGTTACGGTACTGATAATGGAACAGATTATTGGATAGTCAGAAACTCACTAGGCGAATCTTGGGGAGAAGATGGATACATCAGAATGATTCGTGGAAAAAAAGTTTGTAACATTAACCAACAACCTTGGTATGCATTATTGTAAAATTTTAAATGTTAATAATAAATTTGTATAAATAGCATCGATATCGATAAAAAATTTTACTGAATAATATATATATTAATGTTCAAGAATTAAACTTAACTTGCACCGGATATGCTATCAACTCCTGGGCTTTGGCTGTCGCTTACGGTACTGATAATGGAACATACTATTGGATAGTTAGAAACTCACTGAGCGAACCTTCAGGAGAAAATGGATACATTAGAATGATTCGTGGTAAAGAAGTTTGTAATATTAACCAACAACCTTGGTAGGCATTATTCTAAAATTTTAAATTGTAGTAATAAATTTATATAAATGGTATGGACATCCTGCCGAATCGTCGAAAAAGGTCAATATAATGTCTTAGTATCATAGACAATCTTTTTTTATAAACCTCAGCCCAAGAAATTTTACTAAAAAATATATATTAATGTTCAAGAACTAAAATTAAACTATATGTATATATATATATATATATATATATATATATATAATATATATATATATATATTTATATATATATATAAATATATATATATATATATAATATATATATATATATTTATATATATTTATATATATATATATATAATATATATAAATATATATATATATATATATATATATATATATACTGGCGGGAAAAAGTTTAGGTCACATGCAAATTTTGTGTTTTGAGGTAGTAATTTTTTGAGTAGTAATTTTTTGAAGACGTCTTTAAAACTACAAATTGTTCAACCTATAGCATTAACGTTAATGGCAATAAGTTAAACCACCTCAGATTCGCTGACGACATAGTGATTATAGCGAGCACATTCGAGGAACTGCAAATTATGATGGGGGAACTAGCAGGCAGCTTCCAATACGTCAGCCTCAAAATGAATATAAAAAAAACAAAAATAATGGCAAACACAGATGACCCCAGACATGTAACTATAAATGGCAGTAAAATAGTACAAGTCTAGGAATATATTTACTTAGGCCAACTGCTGAAACTTGACAAAGAAAACCAAAGTGCGGAAATTGCTAGAAGAGCAAGACTAGCGTGGGCAGGATTTAGAAAACTTAGTTGGATACTTAAGAATCGCAAAAAACCCCAATACTTAAGGATCAAAGTGTTCAACCAATGCATCCGTCCTATCATGACGTATGGATGTCAAACCTGTACCCTAAGCAAGGCAAACATGAGTAAACTAGCCACAACAGAAAGAACAATGGAAAGAGCAATGCTAGGTATACGACTGTCAGATAAAAAGAGGAACGACTGGGTAAGATTAAAAACAAAAGTCAATGACATAACAACAAAAATTATATATATATATATATATATATATATATATATATATATATATATATATATATATATATATATAATATAATCGAAAACCTCTCTACCCTAAGGTGTGAGGTAAATACAATACAATACAATTACAGGTTACAGATATACATTACATCTCAAATCTAATGAAAATATTTATTCTATTAAATTTATTCTATTCTGTGCACGAATTTTGTCCATTCTTTCTTGTTTTTTGCCTTATTTTGAGCTTCTGACCATTCCAATCCCCTACTTTTCAAAATCTGCCCTACTTCGTCATCCCAGGTTTTCCGTGGTCTGCCTCTAATTTTAAACCTTTTCACTTTAGCCTTCCAGACTTGCTTAACGGGTCGGTTGTCACTCATTCTGCACAAATGACCAAACCATTTTATTTGTTGTGTTTCAATAGCATGTAGTACTGATTCTGTGCCCAGTTCTTCTCTAACATCTTCATTTCTTATTTTGTCTCGTCGTGTTATTCCTTTGACTCGTCTTAGATATTTCATATCAATGGCTTGTATCTTGCTTTTTAATTGCTTTGTTAAAACCCAGCTCTCGCTTCCATATATCAAGATTGGTCGGAATACTGTCTTATAAACTGTCATTTTGGTTCTTCTGCTGATTTCCGGTTTACCTATGAATGCTCTACTAAGATTATGGTACACTTTTGAAGCACTACTGATTCTTTCTGTTATTTCATTCTGCATGGTACCTTCTCTGTCTATTGTAACCCCTAGGTATTTGAATGCATCTACTTGTTCTATGAGTTGTTGGTTAATTTCTATGTTAACATTTCGGTTAGTTTTCGCTATTAGCATTACCTTGGTTTTCTTAACATTAATCTTCATGTTTCTGATTGCCAGCTCATTATTCCAGGTATCTATATTTTTCTGGAGGTCCCTTTCGTTGGAAGCGCATAACATGAGGTCATCTGCGAATGCACACTCAGCTATACCAACCGGTCGTAGTTTACTATATCCGATATGTACTTTGTGTATACTTGCTTTTGTTTCCTTAATTATGTCGTCAATAATCAATATGAATAGTGTGGGGCTCATAACACCTCCTTGTCTTAGACCCTCGTTTATTGCAAACATCTCTGATTCCAAGTTATCCTTACGTACATAACTCTTGTTATTTTGATACAGACTTTTGATAGCACCTGTTAGTTGATGGTCAATATTTCTATTTTGCAGACTTTTCCAGACTGCTTCCTGGGACACTCTGTCAAATGCTTTCTCAATATCTAGAAAAGCCATATATATTTCTGTGTTCTTTATTCTAGCCTTCTCAATTATTTGTTTTAACGTAAATATATGGTCTTGCGTACTGTGTCCCTTCCTAAACCCACTTTGTACTTCATCCAGATGTGGTTCAACGATGTGTCTTAATTTCTTTTCTAGGATGCTTTCATATATTTTGGAGACGATACTAAGTAGATTAATTCCTCTATAATTTTCACAAGAACTTGGGTCTCCTTTCTTAAAGATTGGTAGTATTATGCCAATTCTCCAATCTTCGGGGACTGTACATCGGTTCCAAGCCATGTTCATAATTTTGGTTAAAAATTCAACTCCTTTCGGTCCCATTGTTTTTAACATTTCTGCAGTGATTTTGTCATGACCAGCCGATTTACCTCTCTTTGTGTTGTTAATTGCTTCTTTAACTTCTTCTATTTTAATATAATTTTCTTGCCCATGTTCTCCTTCTACTTCTATCATTACAGTTTCCTCTTTCGGCTGTCTTGGTGTTAGGAGTTCGCTGAAGTATTGTCTCCATCTTTCCATAATCTCATTTGGTCTGGTAATCAGTGCGCCGTCTTTACTTTTCACCTGTTTCATCGTTGTTTCTTTACCTTTTCTTAGCGTCTTTAGTGCCTTGTAAAACAATTTTTGGTTACCCCGGCTATCTGCCTCCATCTTCATTCCAAACTCATCCCAGGCTTCCTTCTTCTTCTTCAGCACCATTTCTTTCACCACCTTTCTTTGTCGTTTATATTCTTCGTAACTACTTTCTGTTCTCTTGTTTAAATATATTTTCCATTTCTGTTTTTTATATTTTATTTGGGCTTTTAATTCATCGTCCCACCATCGTGTTTGCTTCTTATTTCTGTTTACATGGTTTATTCCACACGTTTCTTTTGCTGTCGTCACGATGGTTTCTTTAAATTGTTTCCAAGTTTCCTGTAAGTTGTCAGTACTATGTGCATTAGTTAATTTGGCTAGTTTTTCTTCTATTTTACTTTTGAACATGGCCGCGACTTTTTGATCATTTAGTTTATAGTTTTGGATATTCTCGTTCACTTTATTATTTTTTGTTTTTTGTTGGGTGGTTTTAGGGGTTTTTTGGGGTAATCTTATCTTTGCCATTACCAGATAGTGGTCACTATAGATTTCCGGGCCTCTTTTAACTCTGACATCAGTGACCTCTTTCCTAAATTCTCTATTAATGAGAACATAATCTAGAATTGATTTTTCATTTCTGCTCCTGACTTCTCTCGTAAACTTGTGTATATCTTTGTGTTCAAAAAATGTGTTGGTGATAATCAAATTATTCTCCATGCAAAAGTCTATCATCCTTCTTCCATTATCGTTTCTTGTATCTTCCCCCTGCATACCCATAATATCTATGTTATCATCGTCTCTTTTACCAACTCTGCTATTCATATCGCCTAGAATGACTATTCTACCTTTCACATTTTCTATGGCATCATTGAGCTCTTCCCAATATTCTTCTTTAACTTTCAATGGTTCGTCATCATTCGGGCCATATGTGACTAATACAGTTGTTATTTCTGATTTATTTAGTGTTATCTCTATCTTTAAATTTCTTTGTGATATACATTTCCAATTTTTAACATATGACATATAACTTGCTCTCATTAGGCATCCTACACCTTCTGCCGCTCTACTATCGATACTGACTCCGCTGTACAAAAATACATGTTCTTTATCCAATTCATCCATTCCTTGACCTTTCTTTTTAGTTTCCGTGATCGCCAAAAAATCTAATTGTGCTTTGTCAAATTCATCTATTAATTCTCTCTCTTTTCCATTAAGGCTTCTGACGTTCCACGTAGCCATTTTTATGTACTTTTGTAGTCTGTTTACCCCTTGATCTTGTATTATATTTTCTTTTTTGTCCAATTCAATTATATCGTTAGACCTTATTCTCGCCTTGTTTGGTATTCCATGTTGATCAGTTCTATTTGGCCGATGGTCTGCTATTTCTTCCTGGCTTTGTTGAGAGCCTTCATCTCCCTGTTCCACGTCCATACTTCTCCATTTATTATAAGTTTTTGAAACCCCATTTGGACTGTATTCCCTTTACTCTTTTCTTCCTTAGCTTTAGCTCTAATTTCTTTTTGAATAATTCTCTGCTGTTCGCTCATATCATCATTTATATATACTTTGTGTTCCCTAATATTTCTTAGTTTGGCTTTATTGTTCATAAGTGTGTATTTTTGGTTACTATCTTTTAGTTCTAATAAACAGGTCTTTTCTCCTATTTTAATTGCCCTTTCTATTTCAATCTCAATGTTCAGGTGCGTACTTATAAATCTTTGCATATTGCTCTTCACTGTTTCTACGTTATTTGTTTCTATTGGTAGTCCCTGAATTACTACATTATTTCTTCTTTTTTCGTTCTCAAGTCTTTCAATTCTGTCCATTGCTTGTATAAGATCTTTCTTGATCTCTTGATTTTCTTTTCTGATTTGCGCATTTT